ATAAGCTAACTGCATTAATATCACCTTGGAGGTTCTTAAAAATACAGAATCTTAGGTTATCCCTCAGGAATACTGACTCAGTTTTTAACAGCATTCCTGAGCAATTCAGGTAAATGTTAAAGGCTTGGAAATTCTGGTTTAAAATATGTTTGAAATTGGGGTGGTTGGGTAGATCAGTCAGTTAAGCTGACTTTTGATTTCAGCTCAGGTCATGATCTCAGGGTGATGGGATCAAGTCCCCCTGGGAGTCTGTTTGAGACTCTCTCCCTTTCCCTCTGCTACTTGCCCTGCTCATGCTCTCTCACTCCCTCAAAAAAATAAATCTTTAAAAATAAAAGTACAGGGGCGCCTGGGTGGCTCAGTGGTTTAAAGCCTCTGCCTTCGGCTCAGGTCATGGTCCCAGTGTCCTGGGATCGAGCCCCGCATCGGGCTCTCTGCTCAGCAGGGAACCTGCCTCCTCCTCTCTTTCTCTGCCTGCCTCTCTGCCTACTTGTGATCTCTATCTGTCAAATAAATAAATTAAAAAAAAATCTTTAAAAAAAAAAGTACAGAAAATATTTTTGAAATTGATAAAAATGGAGTGGGAATCACTGTTACACAATTTTTTGATAAAACACGTGTTCTTATTCAAGATAACAAATGCTTACACTTCATAATAGCTATATGAATATCTTTTAGCCTTTTGACAAAGAAAGGGTGGATGTTCCCTTCTAATTTGAGCTTAAAAGCACAATGTATTTCCTATCCTGTTTCAGAGATGCTATAGAATGTGCAGGAAAGAGGGACTCATTTCTCAAGGTAGTGCTTCTTGATACGAACATTCAAAGAATACTCTTGGAGGAGGTGAATTGGATTAAATATATTTGTGAGGCTTTTTCTCCCCTCTATCAGATTCCTATTTTGACTGCCTCCAATAGCTGGTTTTTTGGGGACTATTATATTTAGTTGTCTGTCTCCCTCTTTAAATCTTATTTTTTTCTCAGACTCTTGGCAGTTTGTGAAGTTTCAGTAATGGGAAGAAAGTCAAAGCTTAGCAAGTCTGAGTCAGGGAATTATAAAAGCTCCAAAGAACAAAATAATGATGAGGATGCATACTTTTTTTTTTTTTTTTTTTTTTTTTTTGTGGCAAAACTCCTTTACAGCTTTCTCTTATCCCAGTTGCAGTTTGAAACCTATAATCTAGGTGCATAAGCAAGGACACAGATGATCTTCTTTGTAAATGGTGTTGAGTTCCAGGTATTTTACAGAATGCTTTTAGGGCAGAAAGATGAATTTGTGTAGGTCTAGCAGCTCATGAAAAACATTTAAACTTATAGCAGTTTCCATTACAAATATTATTTTAAATGTAGTAATTAATCAAGGGGCAGGATTTTGCCTGAATGTGGTACAACTCAAAGCAGTAAAGCTAAGGGACACTCAGGCGGTGCAGTCAGTTAAGCATCTGACTATCTTATCCATTTAGCAAATACTTATTCAGTGAGTCATGAGTCTCCACACTGGGCATATTGTGTTGAGTGAAGTAGATGGGGTAGTCACCCTATAAATATCAATTGAAAGCAAAGAGGGTACCTGGATGGCTCAGTCAGTTAAGCACCTATGTTTGCTCAGGTCATGATCCTGAAATCCTGGATCTAGACCCACATCGGACTCCCTGCTCAACAGAGAATCTGCTTCTCCTTCCCCCACAGCTCATGCTCTGTCTCTCTCAAATAAATACATAGAATCTTTAAAATAAAATTTGAATACAAAAATTTAAATGCAATTATTTGGTAATACAAACTTGTTAAGTGATCTAATATGTTTCATATAACCATGTAATAAGAAAGCTTACCAAGAAGTTCTCATTATATTAACATTTTAATATCACTGAGTAAGTGAGATATTTAGAAGTTCTCATAAATGGTGGGGAGTAATGACAGCTGTAGATATAACATATGGAAAGATTAAACTGGGAGGTTGACAAAAAGCCTTCAGTAGTAACTGTCAGAAAATTAGCAGAAAATATACCAACCGTTTGAAGAAATCAGATGAATGATTTCTTACCATCAACATCATCACTAGGAGAAGAGTCCACAAAAAATAAGAATAACCAAAAAGATATACTCGTTTGAACTATGTTTAAAAAAAAACAAAAAACAAAAAAAACCTATATAGCACATGGAAAAAAAAAAGAAAAAAATTGTCACAGAAATTAGAAAAATCAGTTTGCACTGTGGGAGTTCATCCAATAATTGTAATAAAATAATTATAATAAACTAAATGTTGAATACCTACTATTTATTGATACAGTATTAAGACCTATATGTATATTTCTGATTTTAATTAAAGCATCCTGTTCTATGCATTAATTTTTATACAAAAAATCAATTATGCATTACCTTTTTAACTAAACAGTCTTTTCTTGAATTGATTTTTAAAACTTATTAAATAATCAGCTGTATTTATTGGAATAACAGGAGTTATGAATGGCCTCTAGAATTTTAATTACATATTACACATACCTATGTCCTTTTCCATATTTAATTAGATATTAAAAAAGTAAAATTATTTTTGATCCTGCTAATTATAATGCCTAATTCAGTCATTTCAATACTCTATCACTATGTGTTGAGTAAAATTCTCATTTCTGACCAGTTTTCTCAGTTAAATAACTAGCCAGAGGAGATTCCAGCAGTCACCAATACAGCAATATCATCTAAAATTACAATATATAGAAAATAGAAATAGATATATGTATTCTTATAGCTTTTCCTAATCTTATATGTATACCTATCTATATCTCATTCTCTAGTCACATCATCTGTACTTTTTATATGTATCTTTCCAGGAGTTTTTAATGAATGGATGTCAATGTTATTACATATATACATACATAAAATGTGTCTTTTTATCAAAATAAAATTTAAAATTTTATTTTTTGATTTTAACAGATTATTTTGAATATGCTTAATATAAAAAAATATATAATAGTGCTGTTGAACCATAATTTATTTGAAGATTCTCATTTACTTATTTTCTGACTTTTTAACTTTCCAAATAATACTGGTATGAAAATTTCTCTTCACAATAACTGAAATAGGGAAATGATATGTGAATACTTCAAAGGGATAAATACCTACTGAGTAATGGCAGCTCAGTAGATTTTAATGTAATTGTGCTAGATATGACAATGTTGAAATTTTCTTGAGAGTCTTAAAATTTTCCTTCCTAACCTATAAGAATAATCAATACTAAGTATCATCAATATTTACATTTTGTTAAATTGAAGTCATTTAGATATTAATTTATATTGCTTTGACTGTTAGTCTATTTTATTAAAGATTAATTTTATTTATTTGAGAGAGACAGAGAGAAAAAGAAAGAGAGATCACACAAGCAGGGGGGAGAGGCAGAAAGAGAGGGACAAACAGACTCCTCACCAAACATGGAGCCCAACATGGGGCTCCATCCCATGACCCTAGGATCATGACCTGAGCAGAAGGAAGATGCTCAGTTTACTAAGCCACCCAGTTGCCCCTTGATTGTTAGTCTAAACAATACCATCCAGAACTTTTAAAAATCATTATCCTAGAATTTAAAAATGGCATTTCTTTATGAGTTTTTATTCCATATAAAACTATCTTCTCAGTGTATAGCATAAGTGAAGGAGTCTAAATGAAATTTGTAACTAATGATATTTAAGAAATGTAATCATGAACAGTAGCAATATCCAAAGATTTGTAGTAATGAAGTTAAATTTAAAATAACATTTAATTATATTTTTCCTCAAATTTGAAAAAAGTAACGAACCACTTTGTTTCATTTTATATGATTAGTAGATGATAATCCTGATGCTGATGATAATTATACATTAAAGACCCCTTGAGAACTTAAGGTCTTTTTGCCAGTTTGACCTTTGCAGGAAATACAAGTGGTAAGACTCTTTGTCTTTTAATCTGTCTTGACTTGGAATTTTTTTTTCAGATAACTATCTCCTAAATCCAATCCAAAGATTTTGGGAAGTCTCTGAAAGTTAAATAAGACATTAAATCTAGATCTTATAAAGCCAGCAATGAAGAAACTAAAGAACATTTTTTTTGTAAAATTACAATGATAATTTCATTAAAACAATCAGCCAATGTTTTAAAGGCAAATGTTACCTTTTTTTTTTTTTTTAAGATTTTATTTATTTACTTGTCAGAGACAAGTAGCACAGCAGAGAATGGTAGAAGCAGGGTCCCTGCTGAGCAAGGAGCCTAATGTGGGACCTGATCCCAGGATTTTGGTACCATGACCTGAGCCAAAGGCAGATGTTTAACCAACTGAGCCACCCAGGCATCCTGAAAATGTTACTTTTCAAGTGACCCCCCCCCCAAAAAAAAAAAAATATATATATATATATATTTTACATCTATCTATCTATCTATCTGCAGTCTTCCCATTATTTTTCAATGTATTAAGCACATATTCATATATGGGGTGTTAGGCTTGGTATAGTAATTTATATCATGAAGTATAAGCTAGTCTCAGGCTTCAGAAAGCATACAAGTTAGTAAAAAATACCCCAGGACGCCTGGGTGGCTCAGTTGGTTAAGCGACTGCCTTCAGCTCACGTCATGATCCTGGAGTCATGGGATTGAGTCCCGCATCAGGCTCACTGCTCGTCAGGGAGTCTGCTTCTCCCTCTGACCCTCCCCCTTGTCATGTTTTCTCTCTCATTCTCTCTCTCTCAAATAAATAAATAAGATCTTTTTTAAAAAGTTAGTAAACAAAATTGATAGTGATATATATATGTATATCTACTTATCTATCTATATTTATCTATTTAATTTCATCAACACCATATGAGGGTTACAAACTCTTTGTTTTGCAAGAGGAGACTGGTAGCAGTCATTTCTAAGGAGAATGAATAGAGATTTCTTCATGAATTTAATCCTTTAAGAAAGGTTGGATTTTTTTTTTTTTAAGATTTTATTTATTTATTTCACAGAGAGAGATCACAAGCAGGCAGAGAGGCAGACAGAGAGAGAGACAGAGGAGGAAGCAGTTTCTCCGCTGAGCAGAGATCCCGATGCGGGACTCAATCCCAGGACCCTGAGATCATGACCTGAGCCGAAGGCAGAGGCTTAACCCACTGAGCCACCCAGGGGCCCCGAAAGGTTGGATTTTTAACAGATAGATGGATCTGCATTTTATTTTATTTTTTTTTTTAATTTTATTTTTTATAAACATATATTTTTTTCCCCAGGGGTACCGGTCTGTGAATCGCCAGGTTTACACACTTCACAGCACTCACCATAGCACATACCCTCCCCAATGTCCATAACCCCACCCCCCCTCTCCCAACCCCCCTCCCCCCAGCAACCCTCTGTTTGTTTTGTGAGATTAAGAGTCACTTATGGTTTATCTCCCTCCCAATCCCATCTTGCTTCATTTACTCTTCTCCTACCCCCTTAACCCCCCATGTTGCATCTCCTCTCCCTGA